AAGCTTAACATAGAGATACACAAATTTCTAATTGACTGTTGCATTAATAAAAACCATCCATTTCAAATATTTTTGTTATTTCCCAAAAATTGGGATATTTTTATTGTCTTGTGAGTGAAAAAATATTTTCATTTCGGAGTAAAAAGAGACCTACAATACAACCATGTGTTTGAATAAAAACTCAACAACATTAAGCCCAGCACCCAGTTTTAAACATCGCTAACACAACAGCTGCACTGATGATGCCGCTGGCACAGTTTAATCTGGAGCCATTAGTGACATGGCGAGCTCAAGTTCCGTAAAAAAACACAACATGTTTCTAGCGTCCAAGACAGCAGCACTGTTTCTGTAATCACCATTAAAACCTTTACTGTGAAAAAGCTGTTGGGCGTCTTTCATCATAGCAACCATCAACAAACTCGGACATGAAGACTTTGAGCAGCTACAATCCACCACCGTTTGTTTTACACCGCGAAAAATCTTCCAAGAAAAAGAGTAAAGGTACATTTTTTTTCATGCCTTAGTTATTTCACTTTGACTAAAATTATTTATATATTTTTTGCATTTAAGAAAACATAACATTTTAGCACGGCACATAAATACTATCACAGGGTTTTGTTTTGTTAAGAGATGTTTTTTGCAGTTAAACTTTAAAATGTTGTAATTTCTAAAATGGAAACTAGTGAGCAGTTCATTTTGAAAAACCTGTGTTTTTTCTCTTTTGAATATTCATTACTATTCATTAATAAGACAAAAGTATTTATTATCCGTGGTATTTTACTTGATTAAGTCATGGAATAATCAATAGATTACTTGATTACTAAAGATGACAATATTTGTGGTTATAAATAGGCAGTCTTGTTGTTAAGTGATGACTTATCAACTCAGATAAGTCTGAGCTCAGTCTGCTCGTGCGGCTGACCGGCCAGCTACCTAGCCTGACCGGTCTCTCCAATGTGATGTTTGTGTATTGTATGTACGGTCGGCAAGGTCAGTCTCGTAATTGGGAATAAATAAAGTCTTCTGAATCTGAATCTGAATTTTCAGGTCCAAGCCTCTGCTGTGCTAACTGAGGCATTGTTATTAACTTTTTGTTACGGTTTGTCATGAGGACTCACACGCAGGACTCCGAGATAGGAAGCTTCACAAGCAATTTATTTACACAGTTCACCAAATGTATATACAAATGTGCAGAAATACTGCTATATATAAAAGTGGGGGGACAGGGCTCCAGGGAAATCCAGGGAAACAGACTCTCGCTCCTCTTCCAATAATCCACAAACACGATCAGGCTAGAGAGACCAGGTTACATTTGTGACACATGGAAGACATTGTGAATCCGCGTATTCCGGGGCAGTCTTAGATGGACAGAAACAGGGTTAATCAGGGTGTCAATTTCAAAAGGGCAGATGAAGGTGGGAGATAGTTTTTTGGATTCAGACCTGAGTAGGATGAACCTGGCAGACAGCCAAACCTTCTGTCCGGGCGCGTAAGGTGGTGCCGGGGTCCAGTGACAGTACGCCAAGCGCTCGGCCGTGCAGAGAAGGGCGGCTTGAGTGGCTCTCCTGGCGCGCTGACTCCTCTGGCGATGCTGCTGGAAAGAGGGCACAAAGTGCTCACCTTCAACGGCAGGAAACGGAGGTGGTTGGTAACCTAGGGACACCTCGAAGGGGGACACTCCGGTGGCAGGGGAGGTGAGGCTGTTGTGAGCGTACTCAAGCCATGGGAGTTATTCGTCTGGTTGGTGGATGTCAAGCATTGGAGTGCCGCTTCGAGCTCCTGATTGGCCCACTCCGTTTGGCCATTTGTCTGCGGATGGAAACTGGAGGAGAGACTGACCTGACGACGTTACAGAATTCCTTCCAGACGCGCAACGTAAACTGTGGACCCTTGTCTGAAACTATGTTCGTGGGGATTCCATGGAGGTGTAAAACGTGGTCAGTCAGGAGCTGGGTGGTCTCTAGAGCAGAGGGGAGCTTGGGGAGGGCAACAAAATGAGCAGCTTTAGAAAAGCGATCGATGATTGTGAGAATGACTGAGTTACCTGATGAAGGTGGCTGAACGGTGATGAAGTGGATAGCAATGTACAACCAGGGGCGGCATGGCGTAGGCAGTGGTTGGAGTAGGCCTGAAGATGGCTGATGGACGTTGTTGTTTTGGGCACAAATTGGACAAGTGGCAATGCATTCACAATCATCTTCTGCGAGGGAGAGAGGGCCACCAGGCAAAGCGCTGAAGGAAGGTAATGGTGCGGTGGACCCCCGGGTGACAGGTGAGCCCAATGTAGCACTCGTGACCTAACAGAGGTCACGAGTTCTACAAAGAGTAAACCTGGAGGGCCCGTTCAGGGGCCCGGTTCTGTTCAATGACCCTCCCTAATGGCAAATTTGATCTCCCAGGTCAGGGTCCCAATAACACACGTGGGAGGGAGAATGGGGGAGTCCTGAGCTGTATCTTCCGAGGCAGTGAATTGGCGTGAGAGAGTGCCGGGTTTGACGTTATGAGAGCCAGGTCTGTAGGTGATCGAGAGCTGGAATCTGGTGAAAAACAGGGCCCACCTGGCTGGCCTGGCATTTGGCCGTTTAGCTGACCGAATATACTCCAAATTCTTGTGGTCCATCCACACCACGAATGGCTGGGCAGCGTTCTCCAGCCAGTGACGCCACTCCTCCAGGGCGAGCTTGATGGCTAGCAGTTCTCGGTCTCCCACGTCATAATTTCCTTCTGCGGGGGAGAGACGGCGAGAGAAGTAAGCACAAGAGTGAAGCTTACCACTTTGTTGCTGGGAGAGCACGGCCCCCACTCAGGCGTCCGAAGCGTCCACCTCCACGACAAACTGTAGACTCAGATCTGGTTGGAAAAGGATGGGCGCCGAGGCGAAACGTAGCTTCAGATGAGAGAAGGCTCATCCCAGCAGACAGGAACCTTGGGTGAGTTGAGACGAGTTATTGGCAAAGCAAGCTTACTGTAGTCACGAATGAAACGAAGGTAAAAGTTAGCAAAACCCAGAAAGCTTTGGAGTTGCTTGCAGTTAGAAGGGGTTGGCCAGTTAATGGCGGCTTTAACCTTAGCTGGGTCGGCTCTGAGGTTACCTTGCTCAATGATGTAGCCCAGAAAGGAAACTGTAGTTACGTGGAACTCATACTTCTCTTCCTTAACAAAGAGATGGTCCACAAGGAGATGTTGTAAGACCTGTCTGACATGGCGTTCGTGTTCGGTGACGGAGCGTGAGAAGATGAGGATATCATCCAGGTAAAAAAGACAAAGTGGTTGATGAAGTCCCAGAGCACGTCGTTTACCAGAGCCTGAAAAACAGCTGGAGCATTGGTGAGACCAAACGGCATGACAAGATATTAAAATGGCCAAGATGGGTGTTAAAGGCCGTTTTCCACTCATCCCCCTCCCTTTTCCTGACCAGGATATTTGCATTTTGCAGGTCTTAGTGAAGATTGTGGCCCCCTGGAGAAGCTCGAAAGCGGAATTCAACAGCGGGAGAGGATATTTGTTTTTAACCGTAATGTTGTTGAGGCCTCGATAACCAATGCAGGGCCATAAACTCTTGTCTTTCCTGGTCACAAAAAAGAAGCCAGTGGCTACTGGGGAAGATGAGGGGCGAATTAAACCTGCAGCAAGTGACTCGTTAATGTACTTTTCCATGCTTTCACATTCAGGCTGTGAAAGGCTGTATAAACAGCTGGTAGGGAGCGGTGCGCCCGGGAGAAGGTCAATCCCGCAATCGTACGGCTGGTAAGGAGGCAGCGAGCACGCTCTATCTTTGCAAAAAAAACCCAGTTTGAGGTCACTCCTCCCCCCACCCCAGGTTACTCTCCTTTCTCCAATCAAGGACTGGGTTATGTTGACGCAGCCAGGGGTAGCCTAAGACTAGCGGTGTGAGGGGGGCTTTGAAAACTGCAAGGTTTCAGAATGATTTCCAGAAAGGGTTAAAGAAATGGGCTCTGTAATGTGGGTGATGTCTGGGAGACGCTGACCACTAAGGGCTGTAACTTGAAGAGAGTGTGGTAGTGTTTCAGTGCTTAGTTTTAGCTTATGCGCCAGCGAAGCGTCAATAAAGTTCTGTTTGCCCCAGAGTCAGTCGGAGCCCTAAGAGAATGAGTCTTGAGTTGCACAGTTCATTTTGCTGCAATCATGAGACGTGGAGGAGACCGTGAACAGGAGACCTCATCCACCCATACTCTCCTCTCTACTGGCGGGCGGTCTTTTGGCCAAGCCGGACAAGCGTTGGCGATATGGCCTTTGCAACTGCAGTAAAAACACTCACCGGCCCTCCACCGTCAATGTCGCTCCTCAGGCATTAGTCTGGAGCGCCCCAATTGCATGGGTTGTTCACCCTCTTCCATACTGTCCGACACCTGATTGCCTCCGCCACTGGTCGCGCCTCCGCCCAGCGCCATTTCCGTGTGTCCCAGATGCCTCTGGGTAATATAGTTTCCGGTTCCCCGGCTCGCTCTTAAATGCTCGTCTACCTTCATACACAGTGTAATCACATCAGAGAGAGTCAAAGGTAAGTCCCTCATTACCAGTTCATTTTTCAATTCATCACAAACATTATTCAGTGAGGTACTTATCAATGCCGACTGCCCCCACCCGGTCTCTTCAGCCAAAGTCCAAAACTCGACTGAGTATTCCGCTATACTCCGTCTCCCCTGCTTTAAGTTCAACAATCAAAGAGCAGCCACCTCAGCTCCGGTGCCTCTTTCAAAACCACTTTTAAATTTAACGAGAAAGTCCTGCTAAGTGATCTCAGGGTCAGTTCTTAGCTTGGCTTGTGCCCAGTTCAATACCTGCCTGTAACAGCTGAACAATATAGGCAATTTTGGCCCCATCAGTCTCATAGGTCTGTGATCTGGGTCAAAAATCCTGCACACTTATGAAACTCACCCGAGTAAGATTCCATAGCAGGTAAAGATTGCTCCGGGGGTTCTGGGTGAGCCGGTGCGGAAGAGGTAGATGGTACGGGCGCCAGAGTTTCGGAAGCCGGTAACTGTGGAGAGACATGCAGAGGAGGCGTGGATGGGCGTTGAGCAAGGGCTTGGGTGAGCGTAGCCAGTTGCTAGTTAATGTGCTGTAGCATTTGTTTGTGGCATTCCAGAATTGCTTCCGGGGTGAGGACAGGCTGCAGGGTGGGGGTTGAGTCTGCTGAGTCCATGGTTGGCTGGATCATTACTGTTACGGTTTGTCGTGAGAACTCACATGCAAAACTCAGCGATAGGAAGCTTCACAAGCAATTTATTTACACAGTTCACTGAATGTATATACAAATGTGCAGAAATAGTGCTACGTACAAAAGTGGGGGGACGGGGCTCCAGGGAAATCCAGGGAAACAGACTCTCGCTCCTCTTCCATTAATCCACACACATGATCAGGCTCTCTTTCTCCAACTATCACCACACAGGACACAGGGAAAAGGTCAAGGGAGTCCGTACACAGGGAAATGTTTGTTAGTTCAATGCTCAGAAACACAAAGGGGAAACTTAGCTGGCAACTTGACGACACTAATGTGAGTCAAACACAACGATCCAGCGAAGAACAGCAGTCATCGCCTGGCTTAAATACTGGTTGTCAATGTCATGTCAATGGCTGTGAACAAAGAGAAACTTGTAAATAACTCATGAAAGAATAAAGTTACGTTGAAACCAAGCACACCATTGTTTTTCTTGTGACATTACCAATAAGTTTGATGTGTCACATGGCCCTCTTCCTATTGAAAAAAACAAAAGTTGTATCCAAGATGGCCGACTTCTAAATGGCCACCATGGTCACCGCCCATCTTGAGGAGTTTGCCCCTTCACATATACTAATGTGCCACAAACAGGACTTTAATATCACCAACCATTCCCATGTTATTACGGTGTATCCATATAAATGGCCCACCCTTTACTTAAACATGGAGTCTGCCTCACAGTGTTTTACACTTCACACGTGTCCTGGATATGTCATGCTTAAGCACATCTGTTGAACACTTTTGGATATAGTTATAATCACTGATACACTTACACAATTATATGATAACGACTTTGTAGATGGGCAGCCTGTTTATGGCAGTTGAAGTTTGTACAGTCTCCTGACACATTGCTAACATTTCTGTTGGCTAGGAATGTCACCTAAGTTGTTAATAAAATAAAATTATATTTTTACTCTACCTCTGCAGTGACTTTGTTTTTGTTTGTTTTTTTTAGCTTAGTATCCTACGCTGTCATAAAGTAATGTGGTGTGGTACGATATTTGTCTTGCTATAATGATGCATGGCCAAAAGGTTGATTAAAATGACTTTCATTCGACTATATAAAGTAGTTGGTTCATTGATTCATTGTTGGAGCTCTAGTTGCATTCTTCTTTGCATTCTTGATCTTTTTTATTTACTTTGGTAGCCTCTATCACTCACTTTGTATTCTACATTATTCTGTATATGCTTTTTATTCTGTCTCTGCTTATTTTTTATGCTTTACTCACAGTCTGTCTTCTCTCTGTGTGTCTCTCTGCTACTGCTGTAGGCACGTATCAGGGTCAGTGGAGTGGTGGCATGCGTCACGGCTATGGAGTACGTCAAAGTGTTCCTTATGGCATGGCTTCTGTCATCCGCTCACCTCTACGAACTTCGCTGTCTTCACTCCGCAGTGAGCAGAGTAATGGTACAGTACTGCGTGACAGCCTATCCGATAGCCCTGCTGGCACACGTGGTGGTTTTGTGCTCAACTTCCAATCAGATGGAGAGGGTTCAGAGAAGAGAAAGGGTCTTTTTCGCCGTGGCTCCTTTTTTGGTAGCCTTCAGCGACTACGCAAATCTGATTCACGCTCATCAATTTCTAGTAAGCGCAGTTCAGCACACAGTGACACTACTATGAGCCGCATCAGTTCAAGTGACGCCAACTCTACCATTAGCTTTGGAGATGGAGACCCTGGCGATGACTACCTGCTTCTTGAGGACAGTGTGGATGCTACCACCACCGAGTCGTATGTGGGCGAGTGGAAAAATGACAAACGCAGTGGCTTTGGTATCTCTGAGCGGTCTAATGGCATGAAATATGAAGGCGAGTGGTTGAATAATAAACGCCATGGCTATGGCTGCACCATCTTTCCTAATGGGACGAAGGAAGAAGGGAAGTACAAGAACAATATGCTGATCCGGGGTATCAGGAAGCAGCTGTTCCCACTAAAGAATACCAAGACCAAACAAAAAGTGGATCGTGCCATTGAAGGAGCAGTGAGAGCAGCAGCCATCGCCAGAACCAAGGTTGAGATTGCCATCTCCAGGTAAAATATCCTGAGAACCATAAGGAAGTTACAACTACTTTTACCATCTTTTTCTTTACTATATTGGAAGTATATTGGGTAGTATATACTATCCAAAGTTTTATCCATATTTTATCTATACTATTGTCAGAGCATATACTGCTCATTATTAAATAGTATTAGTAATACTCTTAATACTACTCTGCATATTTTGGCTTGACACAAAGACATTTTATTGCTCATTTTGACACACTGGCTTACAAATGTAATTGAAACTTCATAGTAAGCATATGGTACTTAGTATTCTGTGGAATGAAAAAATATTTGCTGCTTGTTAGTTTGGGATTGTCTTTCATATGTGTCACGTGTTTCAGATGATCAAATATAGACAAACTGGACAAAGATAACCCAAGTAAATACAAAATACAGTATGTAAATGCTCATTTAGTTTATTAAAAGAAAAAAAAGCTATCCATCCCTACCTGCCCTATGTGAAAAAGTAACCGTTAAATCCCCAAAACCTTTGGAAAAATATTCTGTCAAAACGTTTTTAAAGGGTTGAGTCTGGTTACATCTGGTGTAAAACTAACACACCATTTCAAGCCTGTTTTTCAACAGTTTTAACTGCACATCCCCCATCTCAAATATCATCAGCACCCCTAGATGCCCTCCTCCCACTGCCTCACTGATCTGACCTCCTGTGACACCTGCATATTCACCTGTACTCCTAACCAACCCCTGAAGTCCCCACCAGTCAAGCCGACACCAGCATCACTTCCACCTCAATCTCCTCTGCTGGCATGCATCTCAGCCCCAGAAACCCATTTTAGATGCCATACCTAGAATCTACTGGAGCCACTCACTCAATTTTGGGCACAGTGACCCGAGTATTCGGATTACTACAGGGACAACAGTTGCCTTCAGCTTCCACGTATTTTCTATCTCCTCTCTCAGCCCTTGTTATTTCTCAGGTATCTTGTTCCTATTTCCTGATGTTGCTATTGCTACATCTTATCACTACAGCCTTCCTCCTCTGCTTGGACCCAACTATTATGTCTGGCTGGTTAGCCTTGGCACTTCCAGGCCATACTCTGCAACGGTGTTCCTGCATACTATGCCATCCACTTCATTATAGCTTTCCATGTATGATCTGCCAACTAGTATTTATGATCTTTGCTGTTCTTGTTCCTTTTCTCTCTTGGGTTTCTGCTGCCTGAGGTATCACCAAGCACATGATCATTCCTGGCCATCTTTCTGATGTACTGATGGATTGTTGTTGTTGTTCTTACATCCTGGATAGTAATTCTACACTCACTATTCGTTGGCCTGGATTTGGTATGAAACCTTCGATACGTGGTAAAGGCTTTTCTTTTTTTTAATGTCAGTGGTTTCTATCTCCTCCCTTGGCTAGCTTATTATTCCAGCAGGGTATCTGGCAGGGCATAGGTGTTGATTACCTAGAGCTTGTTCTTCCCATTCAGCAGACTCCTCAGGATTTGCCTTGCTCTTTGGCGAAGGCAGCTTCTCTAGTGGCCTCCTCATTGTTCAGTTCACCTCTTGTCTTCCCATGTAATTCTAGCTATCCTCAATATCTGGAATATTGCATTCTGATAGTGCAGTCTGCTCAGTTCTGACTACTTTCCATCTTTTTGTTGTTCAGGCTTACGTAGAACAGCAGTGGGGACAAGGTAGGGCTGGGCGATATGGCCTAAAATCCATATCACGGTATAATTTGAAGCAAGTGCGGTAACGATATATATCGCGATATATTCTTTTCTTCTGTATCACGTATTTTACCCACTATAAGGCGCACTTAAAATCCTTTAATTTTATCAAAAATCGTCAGTGCGCCTTATGTGTGAATTCTGGTTGTACTTACTGACCTCGAACCAATTTTATGTGGTACATGGCGCGCAGAAATCTGTCAAAAATGTCTCAGTACAACTTTGGTAAGCTATGAAGCCGCACCGCTTGATGGATTGCCGGAGCATTACGCCTGCCGTATTCAGGAGCCCCGCGGAGTGATCTGGGTCCAAAACTCCGTCTCTTCAGGTCCCAAAGTCAAACGAACACTGCGGCATCACTAAGAGTTACAAACTGTCGGTAAATTATTTCCAGTGTTGCCAACTTGGCGACTTTGTTACTATATTTAGCGAGTTTTCAGACCCCCTTAGAGACTTTTTTTCTAAAAAGCGACTAGCGACAAATCTGGTGACTTTTTCTGGTATTATTGGAGACTTATTTATGACGACTTTTTGACGTGAAAATGCATATTGCTCTTACTCTCAACAAGCAGCGGTGCTGCCGTGGGCACCTCACCCGTGCCAAAGCACTCACAGGCGGATGATAGTCCTCCCCCATCTGCTATCAGGGCACAGAGATGTTCACCCCTATGCGTCCAAACTGCAAATGAATCGCGCATGAGCGAAGCCGCTGCTCTCGCACTGACTGTAACGCAGTCAGTTCTTCTTTTACTGTTATGCTGTTTTGTGGATCACAAGGTTTAAAACTACTTATAAACACACACTCTCACACACAAGGTTTAAAACTACTTATAAACACACACTCTCACACACAAGGTTTAAAACTA